TGTTTGGGCAGTTTATGATGGCAAATGGCACATTGGTAAGGACCCTGATTCACACTGATGTGACAAAGTATTTGTCATTCAAAGCTGTTGATGGGAGCTACGTCTTCAGCAAAGGGAAGGTAACATCTTCAGCTTATGTTAGTCTTTTAATAGCATCATATTTCCGATAGTGTTTTCTCTAAGTGGTTGTTAGATCTATATTCTGGTGATCTGTTCTTATTCCTATTAACATACCCTTTTCTATTTTCATTGTCAATCAGATTCACAAGGTACCTGCTACCGATATGGAGGCTCTGAAGTCCCCTTTGATGGGCCTTTTTGAGAAACGCAGAGCAAGAAACTTCTTCATTTACGTCCAAGATTATGATGAAGCTGATCCAAAAACACATCAAGGGTTGGATCTTACTACAATGACAACTAGAGAACTGATAGCGTGAGTACATCAGTGCTTGCTTCTCATTAGTGCACACCTTCTGTTTCTAAAGGAAACAACAAATTTGGAACATGCCCATTATCTTTATATGGGAGGTATTGTTGTAATATTGTAGACTTATACATGAACTAACGCGTACATGAAATGTCAAACATCATGTGGGCATCAATCCATACGTGAAACCAAGTTCATTTGAAGGAAAAAAAATGCACTCTTGAATATATCAGATGTCTGGCTAATAGTCAATAGCAAAGAGAACATCCATAGCTCCATCTGTCCATTGAGTAGAACTGTAGAAGGGTCTGATAGATGGAATTTTGCATGGAATACAAACGTGGCATGTGGCAGTCTTCATGTACAAAGCAAGAGCCCAAAACTTAGTTGCCACTAATGTATTGCTAAATTTAAAATAACTGTTGATACGGCTGAAAGATTTCTTTGGATGAAACTACCTTGGTAATAAAAACCAAAGTAGTTACATTGTTGAACCATGCAACAGATTTGTGTTTATCTGCTGTGTGCTGTGGTACTGCATTACAAGCCTCCTTGGTGCTGCTTATGCAATGTAGAAACCTGAATATCTCTTTCAGGGAAAGTGAAAAATGAAAGCATAGGTGTTGGGGTGGGTTGGAGGTATCTAGGTTATGGCACCAATATAGTTATTACTGGAAAACTTCAATTTGCCGTATTTTTAGTTTGTTCCATATTTGCGTCTTGCCTAATGCAGGCCCACCTAAATATAGATTACCTTCTTTTGTATCTTTTGTAACTTATAAGAAGATTACTTCCTGATGGATATTCTTGTTGTCTTCTAGTGATTGTGTTCCAATAAAAAGGCATTATTTTATGAAAATAGCAGATAAATTTTCTTCCTCACAATATATAATTGATTTGCCTTCAACCTTAGACATGTTGCAAAAGGTTATACCTGTGCTTATTGTTACATTTTATTTGAACATAAGTGACTCTGTTTCCATGTGTCTTCTTTTCCAGAAAATATGGTTTAAGTGACGATACTGTGGATTTCATCGGCCATGCACTTGCTCTTCATAGAGATGATCGTTACCTAAATGAACCAGCAATTGATACTGTAAAAAGGATGAAAGTAAGTCTTGTTTGTAGTTTGCTGTTATCAGTATCCTCTGCTCATATCCTACCATTCCATTTTCATCTCTTAAACACCTTCAGGCTGCATTAGTTAGCCATAATTCATTTCCCGGTTACTACTTACTAGTGTTCCTCTTTTAGCTGTGTCACTGCTGTTTTGTGAATATTCTTTCTTTATGGAGTTCAGTTACATTTATTGGTTATCTTCTGTTCTTGTAGTTATATGCAGAGTCCCTTGCACGCTTTCAAGGAGGTTCACCTTATATTTATCCACTGTACGGTCTGGGTGAGCTGCCACAGGTTAGTCAATTTGTGTTAATTTAAATACATGTCATGTTGCATGCGCATGTGTTTTAAGATGGTCATCTGTAATGCTTATTCCACAGGGTTTTGCTCGCCTAAGTGCTGTTTATGGTGGCACTTATATGTTAAATAAGCCAGACTGCAAGGTGCGATTATCATCAACCCAATCATGACTTGCATCATCTGGGTGACAACCAAATAAAATTTCTTTTGGCATGTCTTTTTAGGTTGAATTTGATATGGAAGGGAAAGTCTGCGGCGTTACATCAGAAGGAGAAACTGCAAAATGCAAGAAAGTTGTTTGTGACCCTTCCTACTTACCCAACAAGGTTAATTTTCTTTCCTGTATTCAGCACAGGATTGTTCTTTTAATATGTTCTTCTGGGATATTTAAATGTCATATTCCATCTCAAGATATTCACAATTGAACTTACTGTGTTTTTCTTCTGCCCTTCCATTTGTTGATAAGTTTTATTAACTGCAACCTCATTTGATGTTCTGCTTACGTTTATTAACAGGTTAGGAAGATAGGAAAAGTTGCACGCGCTATTGCTATTATGAGCCACCCGATTGCAAACACAAATGACTCGCACTCAGTCCAGATTATTTTGCCACAGAAACAACTTGGACGCAAGTCAGACATGTGAGGCCTTTCGCAATCTCAATCACTTCTCATCAGATGAATTACTAGATTTGCTTGCCCATTGCTTTTAATAAGTTATTCTATCCCCATTTACGGAATTTCTATTGGTATTCTCCTGTTAGGTATGTCTTCGGTTGCTCATACACACACAATGTTGCTCCAAAAGGGAAGTTCATTGCATTTGTGTCTACAGAAGCAGAGACTGACCATCCAGAGTCTGAGCTAAAGCCTGGGATTGATCTACTTGGTCAAGTAGATGAGCTATTCTTTGATATCTATGATAGATATGAACCCGTGAATGAGCCATCTCTTGATAACTGTTTTGTCTCAACTGTAAGTTCTACGGTGTATGATTTTGCACTTGAACATTAAGTTTGGTTGTGTTGGAGTATAATAGTATAAACATCTCTGGTTGTTATTCTCTCTGCAGAGCTATGATGCCACCACACATTTTGAGACAACGGTGACAGACGTTCTTAATATGTATACACTGATCACTGGAAAGGTAAGACACGCTTCTTTTCTCCATTTACTTTAATAAATGTAATGCTTCTGTCTAGCAGTTCAAGCTAATAACCACTGATAATACTTTATATATTTTGTTATAAACACCTTTTCTGGAGAGTATGGAAAACTAATATCTGTAGGCTATAGAGATTAGATTACCACATTTTCTAAAATAGATCGACCTTTATGTTATCTTCTTAATTACTAAATACATATCCATTCGATTGGCTATTCTGTTGCACAATTATGTATTTTGTCCTTTCTTTCCTAATTCTTCTCTGCTTGCAGACTGTTGATCTCAGTGTCGATTTGAGTGCTGCCAGTGCTGCTGAAGAATATTAGAGTTCACAATCAAAATCCAATCATTCACAAAGATATAATGCTATTCCTTGGCGAACACCACAGGTCAGACCATAATGAATGACTGGGATGGTTATTCGAGCTCCAGATTGTGTATTCAGTGTTCTGGCCAATGGTCTGTAGCATGCTTGTTGTTATCAGTAATATGCTGAACTGTTGCTTCAGATGACTGAATGATGGTGGTTTTTATTTGCTACTTTCAGTAATGGTTGAATGATGTAAACAGTGTACACAGTGGAGCGCTTTGCGACTGATGTATCATATACTGCTCGGTAATTTTACATGTCTGTGCAATGGCTGTGTTCTTACATGCCTTCTAGTTTCGCCAAAACTCACGCGGTCTTGTGCTCTTCTGGTGTCAGCCGGTAACATGTGTTCTACTCGGCTCGTACTACAAGCTGTGAGGTTGGAAGTACTCAACTTGTGAAGAGTAACTTGCAGTTCCTTGACTCTCCTTGTGAGTCGATTCTAGATTTCAAGCGTAGGGTGAATCAGGTTCCCAATTTCCCATGCACCGCAGCAGAATGAAGCAGATTAATCAATCGAATTATTATCGTGGATAATTCACTTAATTATCCATTCTTTCTATAAAGCTAATGCCACTAAACACCTAACACTCAACATGCAAGTATAATACATTTATTAGCACTCCTAAAATCTACATGCAAACATATCACATTAACCCATTAAACACACAAAGCTTAACATGCAAGCATATAGTAATTACAATTTATTTCATTTTAAATTAAACATACACATGCTAAATCATCATTCTTAAATCATTTTCATAATATTTCAATACAAATCATTTCTCCAATTTCTAACGTATATCCGGCAGCAAAGCGCAGGGCATCATCTAGTTAGAATAAACACAACTACCAATAAATCCAGTGAATTAAAAATCTCCTAAATTTCAGTCACTTTTTTTGGACGGCCGAGATTCGTGCATGGTCACCGTAGCCTCGCCGGCTGGCCTGGAAGCCATCAATGCCACTACCGAGGCTCGCTTCCCCCTTCGCGCCTCCTCTCTTTCTCCCTAATCCAGCCGCAGTGCCATTCCATCGTGTCACCCTCTTCCACTTCTCCAGTGGCTCACACCGTTGGATTCATTGCCGTTGACCGCCGCCTCCTAACCTCACGAATTCCCTTGCCCCATCACAACCATCGCGGCGAGTCCCGACCAACCTTCCCTTTCTCCTCTCTGCCTTCTATGCTTCCGAGTTTAAAGATGACTCAAATCCAACAACCAGAGCGCACGTGACTAACTCTGTTCGGTGGCACTGGCTGCAGCTACAGCTACAGTGGCTGCAACTGCCAGCCAACAGCAGTTGTACCCTGTGGGGGCTACAGGGGAGTAGTTATTTCTGTAGAGGCTGTAGCCGTTTCCACAGCCGAACAGCTGGGCTGTGCAGCACAGCCCAAATAGCTGCAAAAATGGGCTACCGAACAGGCCCAGGAAAAAAAATATAACTCACCTAAGAATTAGCAAATCCCTAAATTAAATATTTTAAAAAGTAAATTTAGCACATAGCTTAGAACAAATTGTCCAAACTAGAAGAAAGTTATCATTTTTAGAAGAAATCGTACTTTTAGAAATGTGGAGTAAATAACAAATAACTCGTGGTAGTAATTCAGAAAAGAACAGGATGACCTTCTCCTAATAAGTGAGTCTTACCTTGAGTATTCAGGTTACTTGTGCTTTTGGGCACAACCACCACATTATCACCTTAGTACCATATGAAACATAAGGCCTTTTTCCAAAAAAAAGAAAAGAAAGAAAAGAAACACAAGGCTACCATATGAAACACCACGCTGTAAAGGCTACCTATAAAAACGATAGCACATGAACACACGCAGCAACATTCCAGCCTTCCAGGTTCACAAAATCAAAACAGCATACTCTCTCCGTCCAAGAAAGAATTAATCTTGGATAGAATGTGACCTATCCTGAAATGACGAATCTGGATGGGTCACATTGTCCAGATTCGTTGTCTTAGGAATAAGTCACGTTCTATCCTAGGTTGATTCTTTTTAAGAGGGAGGAAGTACAACATCTTGTGCAAAACGCTCCACAACACAGCAATTCCACTACCTATATACCTTAACCAACGCTGCATGCCCCCATCACTCTATGCTTACACCAGCTTCATCATTGCCTTCCCGCGCTGCCCTTCTCATCATTTCGATCTTGACAGAAGGCCCCGCCGTGTCGCCGCCGCCGCCGTTCGACGGCTCGGCGGCGACGCCGGCGCCAGCGCTTCCCTCCTTGAGTCCTTTCCTCATCTTGACCTTCTGTGCCCAGCCCAGCACGCCCTGCTGCACGTGATCGTTGAAGATCTCCTTCTTGTAGAAGCTCCCCATCTTTGGAGACAAAAAAAAGGTTCATCAATCTTGTGATTGCTATGAACATTTTAGGGCACTGAATTCCTTTTTTATGTGGAATGTACCTGAGTGACAACTGCATACAGAGGCATGGTGCTGTAGCTGCAGAGAAGCTGGATGGTGACCCTAAAATTGAAGGATGGATGCAGGAGTTATATAACACATTTTTTACTACCGGCGAGAAATTATAATGAAATGTATAGATTACCCGATAACAAGCCTCGGCACGATGAAACTAACTTGCCCCATTATGCAGGAACTGAACCCGTATGTGGTCTAGGAAAGGAAGCAGGGAAAACAAATATAAAGATCAACCATTGTATCTAACCGAGATGTGCTTCAGAAATGATGCTTACGAGTATCCAGAAGAAGAACGCGATCTCAAACGCGTTCTGGAAGAGAATGAAGTGGATCAGGTAGAGGATAATCCTTGGCCGCCCAAGCCAGAAGTGGTCATCTGATGGTTTTACGACCAAATCACCCTCAATTGCAGAGTTCTTCTCAGCCACATCATGGGCTAACTGAGCTATGACGTGCTCCAGCTTAGTGCCAACAGCTAGTAGAAGCTGCAAGGAGTATCAAAAATACAGAAGTTACCACAAGACAAACAGTAGTTTTTATTTTCTGGCAAGTAGGACAATTGTATTTCATCCTTAGAGATGATTAAAGATTTACTTGCAGCATGATTTGTTGTTTCAGGCCATGTCAAGTACAATTGTATATTTCTACTAGATGTTTCATAGTAGTTTGGAGAAAACAACGGTGAGTAATTGTATCTCGATCAAGGCACTGTTGACTAGGTAAAAAATGATATTTATCCAACATGTCCCTTGTATAGGGGAGAATGAGCGTAGGCAGATCCAGGGGGTGATCCCGGTGGTCTGGGACCACCCAAAAAATCCTAGCCCAATGCATATATATACATATGTGAAAAGAAACTTTTTTAAAAAAAGCTCCTTTATTAATATATTATAATGCGCATTTTATCAATTTATACTTCTAACTTTGTTATATTTAGGTTATTTAAAAGAATTATATAAGTTGGACCACCCGTATAAAAATCCTAGATACGTCATAGAGAATGAGGCAGTGACAAGAGTATCCATGAACTGAGGGGTTTCAAGTTTTAGTTTCCATGGTAAAATCAAAGCTCAAAGGGCTCACATAAACCAAATGTTAGAATGTGATTGGCAACATCTTAAAAGAAGTATTTGTTGATCCCTCTTGACTGGTCTTTAAATTTATAGAAAACCAGATTTAACGCACTTACAATTAGGGGAAGAAAAGCAATCCAAAAGTACGTGTGCCAACCTGCAGTTTGACAAAAACAAGGAATAAGATAAGTTTTGGGAAGCTAAATCCTGGAATATACTATGGCAAAGGTGCGTACTGAAAAAGAGATGGATACTAATTTGGCAAGAGTAGTCTACATGAAAATAACATTAGTGCTTTCAAGAGAGGATACCGTTGACATTCAGCAAGAGGAAGATCACAACAAAAACCCACAAGTACCAGCTGAAAGGAAATAGACACATCACGGCTAAGTTTAAGTGCATTACAAGTTCGTTTTGAATTTAAAAGGAAAATACAAACATCTGGACCACTCTCAGGCGTCTTAGCTTTACCTTATGCCAACCACTTTCTTAAAGTCAGACTCTAAGACCCTCATCATGTATTTATGGAAATCAAATTTTGGGTTTCCACGACAATGAGTCTGCAATCCAAAAAGGATCTCATTTTTACAAACAAGAAAATTTCGCATGAGTGAATTATATGAATAAATGCTTACCATGATAAAGCCAAGACGCATTGTTGTATAATCCGATTTAGAAACTGATCCATAAAACTGCTTAACAAAAGAATGCTGAAGTAGAATAAAAGGATAATAAGTTCCCTAACATTTTGTAGTCACTTAAAATTAGACCAAAATAAATTATTTGTTAAATTGTTATACATGCATAAAAAGCGATATGTAACCCAACTTGACTAATACATGCAAACACCATATAGCAAGGCATAAGTTATAGAGAAAGCACAAGACATGCATTTCTTACCAGCCAACTCAATATTTTAGAGTCTTTGCCCATGCCCTTAAAATGATCATTGATAAATTCAAATTGATGCACGTGGGTCACCTTGGCAGGCCCTGGTTGACCTGCAATTTCAAATGATTTTATCAGCCTGGAACAAATAAACAGACTTCAAAAGCAGATAAAATTTTCATATAAATTTATCAAATTTTACAAAAGAAAAAAAAGTTATGCAACCCTCAGGTGTGTCATTGCACTCAAACATGAAAAATATAGTGCAATACCACTTCCCACAGCATCTTTCTGAATTTCAACCTCCCATTGTTTCCATTGGTGTATCTAAATAATAGATTACAGCAGAAAAATCAGCTAACAATAGCAAAAAGGGTTTGGCAGCTTAGCTGCAAGAAATGTTGCAACTTACAAGTGGCTTACCTTAGCACCCCCTAGAAGCATAGTTGAAACACTGAAAATAACATGTGTGATAGCCAGAACAAATATGAAAATATGCAATTGATGTATGGCTTCAAGGGACAGCAATGGAACTTTCCCCTGTTAAAATAAACATTAGAATTCATATATAACATTTGATCAAGCAAATTCGAATTGCTTTTATCACACATGAGCAGAACATCTTAGTGATAGGAAGTTTTTTCTGCCTAAAATATGCTAAGAAGTAAGAAGCGACAAAACCCAGTTGAAAATTTTAATCAGTTGAAAGTATATACCCATGTAGTTTTCTTAAGGACAATATTTGATCAGCAATCTGGTTTAACTAAGATTATTACCTGCCTAACAGGTTAGCTGAAATAAATTTCAACAAAGTAAATTTATCATCCTTGCTTGTCAATGCGGCTACCTAGCTGTCAAATGAAATGCATTATGATGTTTCCATTTGAGAAAGACAGATAGACCCAGCATGCATTGTGGCATCAAGTTTTTATGATTGAAAAAGACCACTAAAACATTAAATAAAACCACCCAGGTTCATTCAGTCTAACCAACTTGGGGGCAAAATTAGCTACCAAGTCCAACTAAAACATTAACTACTTGCATGTTCAGTTGTTAACAAATCGTCATGAATTTGGTGCCTAACCAGCTTTCCTATAGGACAGGGTATCAGTCACCACAGCTTAGGCAAAAACGAAACGAGGTTAATAAACACTGTTCCATTTTCATGGTCCAATGTAATTATCACCTTCTTCTGGCAAAGCTCTGCCCCCGCCCCACCTTCACTGAGCAATCGCCTCCCAATTCTGCCAACGATCTGAGCAGCAGCAACGTGCTCCTTTGCGGGGCCCACCGCTTCCCTCTGGCATGGCAGCATGTGGACTGTCCAGCGAGGAGGAATGCAGGTCCTCTGGATCAGGCCCTGGAACACCGTCAGCAGCAGCGAGATGAACCCAAGAAGCATCAACTCTGCAACACACCACAAAAAGAAAAATGTTCAGATATGTAGTTAGTTACTTCCACTGTATGTACAGTATCAATAGCTTTCATACACTCTGTATCAAAAACTCAGAAACAGATTTCGTTTTTGCATCTTATATATATATGCCATTGGTGTTCATGCAATTCTGCAGAGAAGATTTTACTACATGGACGAAAGGAGAAAAACAAAGACACTAGCTTTTCTTTGAAAGGACAAAGAAACTAACTTTAGACCTTTGTAGTAAGCATCTTGAACCCCCCTACTGAAATCCTTTTTGGAACCAAACTCTCCTGAAATCCTAAAAGCAAGAACAGTACGAGGAATACACCGCTAAACCCCCACCGAATAGTGATGGACTCAAAACAAGGAATCAGTAGCTTGTACCAAAAGAACCCATTTCCCCGTTTCGATGATAAAAAATCTGACAAGCATCCCCCATTTCACCCCAGCATAAGCAAAAAAAAATTGGGATATAAAAAGATGCGCCTTCTCTGCATAGATCACCCAATAAAATACACAAATTTTACTCTATCCATTCCCATTTCATTTCACAGAGAGAGAGAGAGAGAGAGAGAGAGAGTTCAGAGAGATACAAGAAACGGGAGTATTTTGGGTTCACCTTCCTTGACCTTGAGGAGCGCCTCGTAGAGCGGCTTCTGATTCTTCCTCTTGAGCATCTGCGCTCCCATTCCCCAACCAAACAAAAGACGTATACGGCGGGTTAGCCGCAGATCCCACGGCGAGTACAGGAATTGGAGCCGAAGAAATCAAGAAAGCAAGGCAGAGACATACATACGCACCTTGCCGAGGTAATGGAGGCAGCGCTCGGCGACGAGGGAGATGAGCACCATGAGCGAGCACACCGCCGCCACGATCCACGTCGGCGTGAACTCCAGCGTCGCCGCCTCCGCCGCCATCTTCCCTCCCTTCCCGGGCCGGCGGCGGTGGAGGAGCGGAAGGAAACAGCTAGAGAAACCGGCGCGGTTGCTCGCTGGAGTAAGTAGTCGCTACTACGGACGGACTACGGAGTACGGAGAAATGAGAGCGTGGCTTTGCCTTTTGCCTGCCGTTTCCTTTGATCTTTTTTTGGATTGTGTGCTGCGAGAGTCGTTGGAGGCGCGACAGATGGTGGGAAAGACACACAGAGAGAGGCTCGAGTTTGTCCGCGGAAGAGCCGCGTGGTATTAAAAGGAGTACACCCTACCTCCTAAACGTCTAACGCCGTTGACTTTTTTAAACATATTTAACAGTTCGTCTTATTCAAAAACTTTTATAAAATATGTAAAACTATATGTATACATAAAAATATATTTAATAATAAATTAAATGATAGAAAAAAATTAATAATTACTTTTTTTTAATAAAACGAACGGTTAAACATTTTTAAAAAAATCAACGACGTTAAATATTTTGAGATAAAGAGAGTACTACGTACTGTGCTTGACTTGACAAGGTCGGTTGATGACTTGATGTGAGTGTTCTATCATAGTGTCATGTGTTACCATAAACAATGACTCTCTAGTTTCCTTTTTTTTCCTTCTAGTTATCCCAAAAAATATTTTTAATAATCTTTATATCGAAGTTTATTAAAATATGGGATGAATGTATTAGAAATAGATAAAGAGCGTAATAATTTGCATTGGTATTTAATAATGTATAACAATTTAGGGAACCGAGTCCTGCAGACATGGGATAACTACTGCTCCTTTTGTCACATAATAAATTCACTTTTCTCTCCTTCCATTAATTTATTTCAAAATAAGTTCACTTTTAAGTAATTATTGAGACGGAGTTTGTAAATGTATAAGATAATTATATTGGAAGAATACCAAGTGAAGAAATAGTTGCATTGGAATTTGATGAAGTGTGAATATTCTAATACTTTTGGTTTCGTAATGGTATATGTGGAATGGTGAAAAATTAACTTATTTTATCGTAAGGAGGGGGTAAATATCTAGCCTTCATTCCTCGCACCACCTATTCAATCTTATCATCTCTTTATCTCTTTCCCTTCCTCTCCACACACACACACACACTCTCTCTCACTAACTACTACCTTCATAAGCACATAAGCATGATGGCGGCTTAGCCATGCGAGTGGCATGTCAGGTGCGGCCATCGCCGGTGGTGCCGGTGGCGCGTCAAGCATGGAAAGAGTTGCCGCCACCACTGCTATTGGTGATGGTAGAGACGTGGGTGAAATAGAGGAGGAGAGCGTGGAGCAATTTGTGGGGTAGGTGCCCAACCATGGAGGCAGAGCTGCTCACCACGTTTCAGGAGGTGGCCATCGTCGACAAGGTCACCGTCATCAAAGATAAAGCCTCTCGAGGTACGGATCCGTAACTAGATCTGGGCTCACGACTCCAAGCTCATACATTGGTTTGTTTGGGATTCGATTTTGGTGTTCTACGTGTTCTATATATGGGTGTTTCTACAGTTATTGCGACATTTTCCTGGAATTGATTTTATTTGTTGGTTTCTATCAAGCTCTCTCTTGATAAATAGATGAGTTTTTTTTGTTCTTACTGATATTTTAGTGGCATCATGATACTTTGGTGTCGGGCCTAGTCCTTATAGGTCAACCTGTAGGTACCACGTTTGGTACATATAGGTATTATACTTGGTACCTATATGATATCAGACCTGGTACTCATGTATCATGTTTGGTACCAATATGTACCATACATAGTACCGCTTACGTTATAGTGATGTCAACATTGACGTGATACCTATAGGGTATCAAACCCGTTATGTAGATATCATGTTCAGCACCATTGGTAACCAACACAATATCGTGTATTTATACAGTGCCAGCAGCATTGATGTCAATGTGCGGTCAGAGCATGACGTCATCACTTAAAGTATCTCGTTTGAGCGGGATACTGTTCCCTAGCAACCCTCATTTGATAAAGCAAGGTATTCTAGTTTTTTTATTGGTATATGTGGGATGGATTAAAAATGAACTTATTTCAAAACGGAGTGAGTAAAATAAACCAACCTAAAATATGATGATATATTAACTAATACAACGAATCTTAATAGTTGTCTGTTTAAATTTATTCTACTACTAAGTAATACCTACTCTATCATAGGTAGATTCGTTGTGTCATGTAATATAACATTTTATTTTAGGTCGGTTTATTTTGAGTGAAGGGAGTACACTTTTCAAGCGTTGAATTTCTCCTAGTATATATGTGAAATGATTCTAGATTGACAAGACGAGTAGAGGGGCCAAGCTTTTGTAGAACCTGTGTTCTGTTTGTTTTTCTTGGAAACAAGGCTATAAACCCACCTCAACCATGATATATGGTTTAGATTTTCTCCATTTCTTCAATTAATGTACGGAATTTTAAGGACCTCCGAACGAACGTGAGGCCTCATTTTTTCCGTTACTCTTGACTAGTTTACCACATCTAGAAGAGAGAAGCGTACGATCTGATGCGCGTCGTGCGGGATGAAATAAAGCGACGATATGTGTGATCCAAACTGCGTGGACTTGTTCGAATTCGAGCGCAATCCATGTTAAGGAATCCAAATTTTCAAGTAGATAAAATATTATACTCCCTCCGTGTTAACGAATCAGACAGTGTTGTTGTTATATTTTGAAAGGGATAAAGTATTCTTAACTTCTGGTAGATAGGTCATTAGGTCGTCGTATACGGTCATAATGTGCTTGAGCGAGTTCTTATTTCCTACTAGTATTTGCATTTTAATCGGGCGTTATAGGGATAACGAGATACTGAGATGGTGTTTGAATCTGCTGTTGATGAAGATAAAATTAAGTGTTTAACGCAAAATGATATAGTAATAACATGTGATTAATTGAGTTTTAATTATTACAAACTTGAAAATAGATTAATGTGATATTTTACAATAACTTTCGTATAGAAAGTTTTCACATAAAACACACCATTTAGCAGTTTGAAAAGTGTGCCACCAGTGGCGCAGGTAGGGGGGTGCCATAGGGTGCCAACACCCCCCTATCTAAACACTACCACCACTACACCCCCATGTTTTTACTCTATATTAAGGTTAGCTAAGATAAGTATTTATCTAATTTATTTTGTGTAGCTTGAAAGTATTATCAGTTTAGTTTAGTTAGTTAGCAAGTCTAAAAATATTACCAAGAAACATGATCTACAAAATTAGTTTGTGATTTCTCATCTTTTTTAAAGTAAAATAGATGATACTCATTTGTGAGATTATTCAATAGTTTACATTAAAAGAATTTAGCAATAAAGACTAGTTTCAAAATTTCAATGATATTATTAAAGAGTTAAAATTCAAGTTTTTCTTAAAGGACTATTTTACACATTGATTGTTATTGACGGTGACTATTTAACCTCCTTTACCATCAATATTAATTATTCGGTCTTATGATTTATCTTCACCCTGCACCCCCTGATTTCAAAACCTGACTTCGCCCCTGTGTGCCACGAGTATCAAAAAGTTGAAGAAAAGAACATGACCAGAGTATGATATAGCGATATTCGCTAGAGTTGCTGGTCCGCTTGGTAACCTGATCGTCAAATCTGTGCCCGAAACATTAATTAATAATTATCCTCTTAGATAACGATCATACCACAAACTTACACATCATAAAATTTCGATTTCAAAGTAGCTCGACGTCTCACTCGCCTCAAACTCATTCTCCGTCCAAATTATACGAAAATATATCACTCGCGCACCACGCTTTCTCGTCGTAATATTACAAATGTTTTGGTGTATATACGTATCACCCTCATCCGCTCGTGCAATTATAATATTTTTCTCTGCAACGACCAGCTTAATGGTATTTAAAAAAAACATACAAGACATGTGACGTTTCTTATTGATACAGCAATAAAAAAAAATAAAGTCTACAGTCCTGAGAGCCAAAGTTAGGAAAATAAAACAACCACATCATGTGCACGGGCGGAGGCAGCGTGGGGGCGGAGGTCTTTAGACTCCCCTACACCCTAATATAACATTAGAGCCCCCTTAATACCCCTCTAAAATTCTAATCCATATATTTATAGATGAGGGGCTAATATAGACTTTGTTTGAGGTTGTTAGAAGGCCCAAAAGGCTAAGAAGGCCCAAAAAATTCTAACCCAACCCTAAATCTCTCTTAGTTGCTCTTAGTCATTTTTGTTTAGTCCCCGCTATAATTTTATCCTGGCTCCACCACTGATCATGTGTCGACGACCGAAACCCTATGTTAAAGAGTAAAACACGACACCCTAAAAAATAGATTTACAAACAACACCTCCAATAAAAATATGATACTAAGAGTACCGCCGCCACCCATCCTAGAAGATCAAGACGTGGCTTTCACGTGAGCTCCATCAAGGAGAGAAGGCAAGATTCCACGACAACATTACCAAGGGGAATGCCCGTGTGCATCACCCTTGTCAGCAAAAACAAGCTAGGCTTTCGTACATAATCCTCCTGCTCTTCCATGCCGAAGTACAAACATCAACACCTTCAACGTGCAACCACCATGCCAGCACCTCGTCGATCGGCCATCAAGTAGGAGCGACATTCGACGCACTTAGCTCCATCCACACAATTGGGTTGGAGAGGGGGAGACTAAGAGAAAAGAGTGGATTCCCTCTAACCCATACTAGCCTAGCAACATGATCATCTTGTGATGGCAAGGCACCTCTCCAAGAAGACTTGCGTTTCGAAAGAGTCAGTCGCCGGCCTGCAATGCTCGCCTCACGGGGCCACCACCTCCACCTCGGCCAGACTACACATTGTCGCCGCCTTAGGCTATTTGTCATCATTGCTGTTGCCTCACTCCGTTGCCCCCCTACCTGCTAGATCTCCCGTGCGGCCAATCCGCGACCCACAGCCCATGGCGCCACCATCCTGGCTCCCGTCGCCATGTTATCGCTGCGCCAGGCTCCGATCTCCCATCAGCCTCTCCCTACCGCCAGAGTGGACGGCCTTCTCCTATACGGTTGACGGAACTTGTGCCAGACTAGGCTCCTGCTATCGCTGGCAACGACCTCCGGTTGCCGCTGTCCGAGTCACGCTAGCTAGGGCATGCACCACCTCGTCCATGGCCACACACTACCACCTCGCCTTGCCTCGGCAGCCGCACCCCTCCTCCATGGCATTACGTCACCACCTTGCTTTCGTGGTTGCCATCGCTGTCAATCGAGA